GGGATAGGGAGAGAGAGCAGAAGAAGCCGAGAGAGAGAGAGAGATGTGGGGACTATCAGCGGCATCGGGTGTTGATTGTGCTAAATAACTGCACAACAATGGCGCCTAAGTACGTTGATAGAAAAGTAATGAAAGGCAGTCGACTCAGCAGTGGAAGGCAGCAGGAGTAGCAGGAGTAGCAGGAGTCGAGTGGAGTGAAGTGGGATTAGGAGCTGGAGGCTGGCTGATTGGTAGCGCCAACAAAGGCTAATTCGAGCGCTATGGCTGACTGGCTGCACTAGCACACAATAATTGGTAAAACTCGAAAGGAATGAAAGAAAAGAAAGCCAGCACAACAAAAACAACAACAACAACAACAACAGCATCAGCAACACGAGCGAAAATCGAAAAACAAAAGACGAAAATTGTGTAAAGTGGTTTTATGGAGCAACAAAATAGAAAAATGGGATTTACCACACACACACACACACACACACAGACACGTACATACAGCGAGATATGCTCACATACAGCTTGGCACTTGGATTGTGGCTAAGAAGCGAACGCCTTAAGGTTAAAGTAAAGATTGCAGCAGCGGCTCAAATGGATTTACGTGTTGCGAATTTTAATTAAACGATAAAAAGGGCCAGCAGACATTGGCCACCCCGAAAACGGGGCCAGCTCGGGCAGGCCAATGGATGACCACGCGCACTGCGTGTGCTTAGCAGCAAGAATTTATGGGGCCAGTCGTGAAGCTCTGCCGCTGTTGCTGCAGCATCATTTGGCCCAACCCGAGACTGACTTTTTGCTATTCATTGCGCCAGCCGGTGTAAAATTTAATTTACGAGCTTGTATTTTCAATATGCCCAGCAGCAGCAGCAGCTCAACTGCCCGCCCAGCTCCAGCTCCAGCTCCAGCTCCAGCTCCATCTCCATCTCCATCTGCATCAGCATCAGCATCAGCGTCTCCTTCTACATCTACATCTCTGGCCTGGTCAGCGGCTCTTAAAAGTGATTAACATTAAATCATAGACAAGGCACGGCCATATCTTTGCCGAGCCACCTGACCACACACACACACACACACACACACACACACACACACAGTTCCGCCGGCAAACAATTACATTTTGTGCACGCGCCCTTGATTCATTTTCACGCACGTACGACTTTTCGCACACCATTTTCACCTTGCGGCCTAGACACAAGCACAAAAAAGAAAAAAGAAGAAGAACAACAAAAAAAAAAAAAAAACCAAACCAGAAGCTGAAAATGAAAATAAAAGGCAAAAGCATTTACAGCTACGCATTTTGTTTGCTAATTTCACAGCGACGGCTTATCAACGAGCCGCCATTAGCTCCCCAATTGACAACGAGCAGGCGGAGGAGCTGGAGGAGGAGCAGCAGGAGTTGGAGCACCAGCTACTTGTGGTTCACATGGAGTCGGGCGTCTCGAACTTTTAGCAATTTGTTTGATTTTGTGCTTATTGGACGCTGTGTTTTGCATAAGCAATAAACATAAATTATCGCCAGCGTCCAACGAAGCTGCTGACATTTATTTATGCCCATAACTCATTGAAATCGAGCACTTGATTTAACGACTGTATGTGTGTGTGTGTGTGAGAGAGGGAGGGAGAGAGAGAGGGCTATATCACAGCTTGACTCTCGATATATGCCATAAATTATCGAAATACCCTTTTTTTTTTAGGGGACCCTCTAGTTCCAATGAATCAACAATATAATTAGAATCAGCTCATTTATCTCTGTAATTTCCATTGCCGCTGCCCCAGCCCGCCCAATTATCAGATGCTTTAGTCCTATTGCACGGCCATGCCATTTACTCTGGGCTGATGGCATGTCGGATTCTTTGATTAGTTTCCATTTTCTTGCAGCTCGCTTTTCGTGCCACTTGTTGATTACTTTTAAATGAGTTCTGCTTTGGGGCGTTTCTTAGCCGGGCGCGTTGATTGATATTTACGCGCGTTTGATTGAAGTGTAATCAGCGGCAGTGTGGCGTGTGGGTATTAGCAGCGAAATGGAATGTAAGTGAGCAAATCGTAATTAAAATTGCGCCAAGCGAAAGAAACAACGCAACAAATGACGCTTCAAGGCACACACAATATGCATTAGAGAGGGTCAAAGTACTCAAATGGCTGTGACAAGGACTCGCTAGTCCGACTTCAATACCAGCTGCTGCCTGCCTGCCTGCCTGGCTGCCTGCCTGCCTGACTGATGGCAATGACGTTGCTGGCGCTGCTAATGAAAATGGCTGCATAAACAAGCGCAGCAAGCACATAATGAACAGCAGCAGTAGCAGCAGCAGCAGCAACAGAGGCAGCTAAACAAGCGCTGGGAGCAGGAGCAGGAGCACAATCCGTAGCAGGAGCAGGAGCAGCGTCTGTTCCAACAAAAGATGAAAGCCGCGTTTGCCACTCATAAATATGTACGCTGACAAATAGGAGACAAACACAGAAATACAGCAAGTGAGAGAGAGAGAGAGAGAGAGAGGGAAAGGAAGAGAGTGAAAGAGAGAGAGAGATAGACAAATGGGTAAAACAGAACCGGCAAGCACTCGTGTGTGCCTCGATAGACAAAGCGCCCTTTGGGCACAGTTTGTCAGTTGGACTGCCATTCAGACTTCGCCCGGGCGCCTGGGCGTAAATCAAAGTGAAAAGCGTGCTAATTGCATTAAAAGCATATAAACAAAATGCAATGCAAGTGGCTGTGATAATATATATAGTATATAGAGTATATACACAAAAAAACAGAACAAAAATGAAAATGAATACAAAAATAAAATGACAGCCAAGCAAAGCAAAGCCTGCGCTGCTACTCCACATTGTGCTGGGCCAGCTTTGGCTGATGTCCTTTTGTGCATATGCGCTCTGTGAAATTAAGCAAATAAGCACGAGCTCATGCCGGAATCCGTGCTGGCGCCTCAGCGCTTTCATAATTTTTAATTGCTACAACAACTTTAAATGTGCCAGAGCTTGGCCTGCTCGAGGCATTCAATTCGAGGTAATTTCTGTTTAATTTGCGCCAAGCATATTCAAGTGCTTGCAGCGAGGAACAGGACTGAGTAGTGGAGCATCTGAATGTAGTCATACAGCAAATGAGATGCTACGCTAGATAAGGCAAAGGTCAAAGGTCCTGCACGCATTAAGCGCTTTAACCTTTGAGCAAATGACAGATAGGCTGCGCACCATTGGGAGGACCCCAGCTCTCCTGTGTGCTGGCAACCAACCAACCACGACCGCATAGTCGAAATTCAATCGTACAATGTGTTGATATACGACACGTAATCAAATGTTGCAAGAGTATGCCACACGCAGCCCGCCCCACTCCGGCGCTGCTAAGTACATTTTTTCCCAGTCGCCCACAGCGCATAAGTCAAAATAAATGTGCCGCATTAAGAGGGACAGCAAAAAAATGAAAAAATAAAAGAGAAAAGAAGAGAAAATAAGTTGCGCTGCGACGGGGCCGGCGCATAGCCAGCAAATCCGACAAGTAAATATAATAACAATAAAATGAAGGCGAGATATTATGGCAATGGCTGCAACAATAAAGCGTCGGCAAGGACATTCGCTGACAATGATAATTCCAGTTCCAGTTTCAGCTGCAGCTATGCATGAAAAGCATTGCCTACTTTTAAGGGCAAATTATATTGTAGCTATGCAGAAAATATTGCCTACTTTCGCGCGCAATGCTTAAATGCAGACCTGAAAAAGGTATTGCCTACTTTCGAGCGCAATGACATTCAACTCGGATTTTCAATGCATTTTATTTGTTAAAGACTTAATAACATTCATTATTACATAATAATTTACACAGCTAAACACTTGAGAGACTTAACCTAATCAAGTTCTTAACATATTTTGCATATTTTGCCTTAGCTTAAACATTTAACAGTTTTGCACGCAAGATATGCACATGTTTGTGTATTTCATATGTATGCGTGTGTGTGTTTGTGTGAAACATTAAATCTTACTTTGAAGAAGAGAAAATAACTGTACAATATAAATGCCTACTTTTCAATTAGCTTACTCTGTGGAAATGTACAGTTACTCGACTTGCAGCTCTGCATTTTTATTTATTTTTTCTATTTCATTTATATATTTTGTTTGTTTATTTATTTTTTTTTCCAAATTAATTTTTTTTACTTGGCTTTCGCTTTTAGCTTTGTAGCTCTTAGCATCATAACATCAGTTACAACAATTATGCATTTCGATCTCTACCCATATATCATTTATGTTTTCTTTATTTTTTATGACTTATTTGCCGTAAGCATCGAATTTGAAGACTCTATTTGTAGTAAATTTTGTGCTATATATTCCCGGATTTGCTTTAACAGATTTTTCTTCTTAGCTTATGCTTAGGTCTAGGCTAGAACGGGTTTGGCTAATTAAGTACTCGCATACATATATATTATTTTTTATTATTATTATTATTTTTTTTTTTTTATAGAATTTTTCCACTTTTTTTGCGTAACAACGTTGAGCAATTTCTCTCTGCCGGCACTAAGGGAACTAGGAATTGCCAGAGCTAGTTCGCTTACACACTCTCTCGATATATATGTACGTATGTGTATGTATGTTTAACTGTCCTCTATGTATGTACAGTAGCTAAGCAGCTGCAAAATTTGATTTACCGCACGGCGAACGCGGCGTATACTTGATGTGTTTATTTTGTGCGCGCGTGTGTATGTGTGTGTGTGTAGGGTCTGTTTTCTGTTTTGTGCATTTGCGTAGTTGAAATATTTACACAGATTTAATGAGTTTGGCCGGGGCTGCGCGGCCAGCCCGGCCCGGGCAGGTGTCATACATCTTCGTTAATTGTTATCTGCATGGCGTGGATACGCTTAATTGGACCAACAGGCGGCGGTCATGTTGGCAGCAGCTGCTCTTGTTACTGCTGCCACGGCCGAGGCCGTCGGCGGCATTACACAGAAATGCTATTAAGACGGGCAGCGCGTACAGCGCAATGCGTGCAATGGATTTGAACGCTAATATCCGGGAGCAGCCCAGCCAGGCGGACACACGCGTCGCCGATGAGGCCGCAGCGGCGACCGAGGTGGCTGCCGCAGGACGTCGACTCTTCTTCAGCTGCTTCTCTGCTTTAGGGGAAGAGAATGAGAGAGAGAGAGAGAGACAGAGAGAGAGAGAGGAGGAGGGAGGATAAATAGAGTTGATTCACTGTTGACAACTGTTGCACGCTGCGTATGATTGATGAGGCGTTCGACTACTCACCTTCCAGTGACTTGTCCAGCTGCCGCACCGTCTCCCTGGACTCCAGCACAGGTATACGCTGATGCTTATCGCTCTCGACGCTCTCCTCGTTGCTCTGCCAGTAGACGGACGAGATTTTGGCGACACACTGCAATGAGAGAGAGTGCGGCTGCTATTTACTGACTCATGAAATCTCTGCCTCGCACCAAATGTGCCCCAGCGTTGACGGCGCACACTAAAAGTTTTATGCTTTCATTAACTGTGGCACTGGCATACACACACACACACACACACACACACACACATGCACACAAGATGAGCTCTGATAAGCCAAAAATGACCCGCAATATGCAAACGGCCACAGCAGAGAGCGAGCCGGTCAGTAGTCGCCTCATAAAAGTCGTGCATGAAATTTTGTGGCCTTTACGACACACACATATACACTTATACATGCACATATATATGTGTGTGCGTCTGTGCACTCGCCCTCGCCAGATAGTAATCAACATGCGCTGTCGTGTAATGTAGCCGCAAATTGAATCAAAATGTTGGCGCCGCCATTTGGCGCTGGGCTATGGGCAACGTAATGTATCAATTTCGAGGCCGTAATCAGCTTAAAGCCCGATCCGGGCGGCCCCATAACTCACCTTCAACTTCATGTCGCCGTGCTTGAAATGTCATCCGCGCACACGAAACTCCAGGCCGAGGCGCGCCACCTCGAGACCCTCGCGCCCCACCACCAGCGGCTCGTACGGGCGCAACAGCGAGCGGTTCGCGTGCATGCCGTTAATCAGCCAACTGAGATGGCACACGGGCTTCGACGGCGCCGAAGTGCAATTGACGCGCACCACATCGCCAATTTGGTATCGGGGCTGACCGCCAGTGATTTGTGGTCCATGCTTGGGCGTCACTGCAAATGGAAGATAAGTGCACAATGTACTCTCGCTCGCATCGATTAGCCAATAATATGAGCCGCACTCGCGGCTGGCCTGGTTAAAGCTACTTGCCACACATTGACCTCTATAGCATGCAAACTATTTTGAATAACTTGTTATGTATACATTTTGTTGTGTCTCTCTTTCGATTTATGTTTATTCCAAACCTCTACTTTTGACAGGCATTTATTTTTTTGACTATTATCGATAAATAACTATCGTTGCCTATCGCTGGCTCGAAAGTTTTTCTCCAATTATTGAATTAATGAATTAAAATTAAT